TGTCATTCGAATGACATGATGTCATCTGCCTTAGTCTCTGGCTATAAAAATGTTCTTTACCTTATTTATCAAGCCACTGTAAAACAAATTATGAATTAATGCAAATGGAGAATTCAGCTACACACACACACACACACACACACACACACACCCCTATACTGCAGGCAAAATCTTCTTTCAATATCAGCCTAATCAAATTTGTTGCATTCAATTGAGTTTAAAATTGTTCATAATGTGCTGAAAAAATCTGGGTAACTACAAAACAATATGAAAAAGATACCGAATGCTTCGCGTGTTTGCATCCCACATCCAGCATTCCTATTTGTCTTGAACTATAAGAAATATTCTAATCTTCTCCAATTAGCAAACTCTAATTACAATTTGATTGTATCATTTTGAATTTAAGACAATTTCAACATTCTGTAGGAATTTTAATGTTAAGGAAAAGATTTCCCTGAGAATACTTTGCAATGAAATTGAAATTGCTCAAAAGCCTGGCAAAGGGCCAATTCTAGTAAGTTTTCCCAGCAATTTTCTTGTTTGTGTCATGTGACCTGCTACTGAAGATATCACAAAATATTTATGGAGTATTGAAAGCTAATAAAAGTGCACAGCAGTTCTATTTAGGAATCTTGCTTACACTGTGTATATTTCTGTCATGTACAATTATTTTTTGTAACTGCTGAAATATCTTCTCTTTATGAAGTGTTTCTTATTTAGCAGATGTTTTCAGAAAATCAGAACAAGTTCTTCAGGTTTTACTTTCAAGCTTTACAATCTGACATGGTGGCATGTAATTAATTATGCCTGGGAACTGTAGAAATGCAGAAAGACCTTATGTCCCTAGATTTGTCTCCTGCTGAGAGAAAATGATTGAAAAGGGGGATGTGATGGATAAATAAAAAAAATATTTCAGAACATGGTGCTGTTTAAGACAAAAGGTGGAAGGTTCACATAAATGGGAAGATAATAGAAAACCATGTGTCTCCCAGAAGGCCTCTGCTTGTTTCCAGGTAATGTTTCTCTTACATATTTGTGTTGTTTCCTTGCAGCGCATGAGGTCTGGTCCTGTTGGCAGAGCGGCTGACCCCTTGGTGATAAATAACCAGGGCCGCAAACAATGTCAACTTCCTGTGATGAGTCTGTGGCATCCGTTGAGGAAGTAACTGACAGCTTCTGGGAGGTAAGGACTTCTCCTTGGCATGATAGAAATGTTCATGATTGGCTGACCTAGGAGTGATTTGACTTAGTAAGAGCCAGCCAAATGCAAAAGAGTTTTTTTACCCCTGAGGATGCTGAGGTCACTTCAAAAAGTAAATCTGTTTAGAAAGCTTCCATGAGAAGGTTCCAAGATTCTATGAGATTTTTTAATATTTCTTCCCCTGATATCAGAGCAGTGTAACTTCCACAGAAAAAAAAAATCTAAAGTCCTTGCCTGTTTCCTCCAGAAGCTTTCTAGAGAAGTCCTTGCTGATATCAGAACTAGAGGAGATGCCAAAAAAAAGCTGTTTCAGGACAACTTTTTGACTTCTGTCTGATCAGCATGTTAAATATGATATTCAAGAAGCTGGCATTAATAAATTACTTTTCTTTGTAGTGAGAAAGAGATCTCATAAACAGATACTTTAAAATGATTCAGGAAAAAAGGATGGGCTACAAACATTTATCTGCCCTGCTGAGGTTTAAAGTGGGTTAGATATACCCTGTTTTCCTGAAAATAAGACCTAACAGGAAAATAAGTCCTAGAATGATTTTTCAGGATGTTTGTAATATAAGGCCTACCCCCAAAATAAGATCCAGTTAAGATTGTCAGCCAGATGGATGCATTTAGTACCGTATTTCCCTGTAAATAATACCTACCCAGAAATAAGCCCTAATCCATCTCTTGGAACAAAAATTAATATAAGACCCAGTCTTATTTTTGGGGAAACATGGTACCAAAGCCTTTGATAGTAGAGTATTTCTCAAATGAAAGTTGACTTGCACCATCAGCATCCAGGTGTTGGCATACAATTGTTTCTTTTTAAAACAGATGTTCCAAAACTACATATTCAGTCCACTGAAATATATGTCAAAATGACAAACATCATTATTGAGAAGGATTTTAGAAATTGTATTATGACAACAATAACAATTTTTATCTATGGCCATTAATTTATGAAATACTTTCATAGGATTTCTATCTTAAAAGATAATATACTTTAATAATTATAATAAATTAGTGATAAATAATTTTGCTGGTCAAAAAGGAGAGCATATTCACCATTTAGGGAGCGGGATGTTGTAAATTTAGGCTTACTAAAAGTTACCATATTTTGGGGGTATAAGATGCACCTTTTTCTCTCAAAAAAGAGGGTGAAAATCTGGGTGCATCTTATACACTGAATACAGCATTTTTTTGCCTCCCAAAACCCCGTCCCTTTGCAAAAATGGTTGTGCTTAGCCTTTAGGAGGCTTCCAGAATGCTCCTGAGGAGGGCAAAAATGAGCAAAAAATGGGCTGTTTCTTGCTCGTTTTTGCCCCAGCCCCCAGGAGCATTCTATAAGCCGCCTAAAGGTACTGCATGCCCTTTTTTGACAAAAAACGGGGCCGTTTTTGCAAAAAACAGGGCGTTTTAAGGTCTGCAGAGTGCAAAACCTTTTTTTTAATTTGACTCTTCAAAATCTTGGTGTGTCTTATATTCCAGTGCATCTTATATTCCCAAAAATACAGTATGTTGTAGTTGCTAAAAAATAAGCACATTGGCTTTGCTCTCATTCTTAGTCATCCTAATTTGCCAGGTAGCCAAACCTATTTGGCTGGTTTAAAATACAACAATGTCATATTCATGGAATGATTTCTGATAAAGTGGAATCATAGTGATGAAAGAGCAAAAAGTTAAGGCTAATTAGATGAGAATGGCACAGTGACAGATTGCATAATCATTGTGAGCACATACATTCCCCTCCTATTTTTCAGGAGAGGAATCAGGAAATGTATTCTTTATCTCCAAATATGCCTTTCATGCTGAAAAGGGAATTGTTAAAATTTAGCACTGCACTATGGCAGAGCTCTAAGTCATTACAATAATTGCAAAATGTCCCAGAGCTATATCAGCTGGCAGATTCTGAGGCTCTTCCTTATAAGCCTTCTGATTCCTTCCCAGTATTTGTGCAAATGCAGCAAATTTATCAAGTATTGTTGTTTGAAAGAAAGAATCAGACTCAGAATTTTCTATAAAGAGGCAGAGGTATACCCATGGCAATCACATTTTCAAGAGTTTTCCCCTCTTTCAAAATCAAATGCCCCCTTTTCTCCCCCACCTTTCCTGTTCCCCAGCCTCTGGTGCATATGCTTCCTGCAGGGTACATTTTCCCCTTCCCTGATGCCCTGAGCCAACATGGCCTCCAGGATGATTCCTGGAACTACAGCCAGTCACTTATTCCAGGCAACTATTCATGTGTCTGCCAGGTGGGGAATTATAAGCGGACAGTGAAGCGGATTGATGATGGATATCGGCTTTGCAATGATCTGATGAACTGTGTCCATGAACGGGCCAAGATTGAGAAGGCGTATGCTCAGCAGCTGGTTGATTGGGCCAAGAGGTGGAGGCAACTGATAGAAAAAGGTATTTCTAAGTCTTTCCTTGTAATAACGTAGAAGAGTAGGCTGGGAGCTTTTTCAAAGGCAAAAGGGGGAGGGAATTACAATCTGCACAACTATATTGGTTTAATCTGGACAATATTGGGGGAGGGAGACCCCAAGGAGTTTTTTCTTCAGTTACTTTCATTTACTTTAAAAGGAAAGCATGGCTGTTCATAAATTGCTGTTATCCTATATTTGAAATTTCCAAGTTTCCTTAAAGGCAGTTTTGTGGGCCTTTCTAGACAATTACTTCTTAATTTTGACAGGTGTAACTTCCAGATAAAAGTGTGTCCAAGACTATTGCAATAAAAAAAATCAAATTTAAAAATAGTATGTGCACTAATATATTTATTAAGCCATTCAATAAAAATGAGCCAGAGCACCACTAAAAGTTCATAAGTTTTGCGTGGTAAATATTGCACTTCAATTAAATGCATGCTTATTAAGAAGCTAATGCAGTTCAGTGGAACCTCCTTGCACTATATATATATAGTGTGTGTGTGTGTGTGTGTGTGTTTGTTTTGTTTTTATTTGTGCTGATAAATAAATAAAGGGAGACTAGTATAGATCTATATATATAATCTTCTTGTAAATATATTGCAGTTCATATCCAATACCAATGGGGTATCCTATTCTACATGATGAAGGCATAACGAAAGGGAGCAGGGTTACAGGCATTTATTTTGTTCAGGTGATTGAATATTAGTATGAGCAAACTGGTGTCTTACAAGCTTTTACACCTTTAACACCGATCAGATCTGACCGCATGATCGATGGCAAGGGGCTATGTATTTTCTAATCCAAAATATCTGGAGGGCAGCAGGTTGCCAATGTTAGCTTCATAAACAACAGGCTCTTGCAATTGCTTTGAGGACTGAGGAACTGAGTCTTGGGAAGAGTGAGTATTTAACCATCTGCCATTACCACTGCTTCAGTTTTCAAAGCAGCCATGATGTTGTTCATTAACACAAAATAAACTCCCTAAAGATTTGATCCTCCACTTCATGATTTTTAGAGTGGCTCTCATGATTACTGATTTAAATATCAGTATGAGTAGATGGGAATCATGTAAAGCAACTGGATTTTTTACAATGACAAACAATGATCACAAAGTGTGCAACTAGGATGTCTGAGAGGCTGTGAGTGGCTCCCTTAGGCTTCATTACTGTGGGCTTCTCAGCTCTCTCAACAATTCATTTGTTAGTAAAATAGAACAGTCTCTCAACCTTTGAGTGCATTATAGGAGCATTCAGTCTGTACAGAAAAAAAATGGGCTGTTATTTCAGGATGCTGAGCCATTATCCCACCTTTACTGGTGATGTTTTTGCATAGGTCCCCAGTATGGCAGTTTGGAAAAGGCATGGATGGCTATAATGACAGAGGCAGACAAAGTCAGCGAGCTACACCAAGAAGTTAAGAATAGCCTACTGAATGATGATTTTGAAAAGGTGAAGAACTGGCAGAAGGATGCTTTCCACAAACAGATCATGGGAGGCTTCAAGGAGGCCAAGGAAGCAGAAGACGGTTTTCGGAAAGCACAGAAACCCTGGGCTAAGAAGATGAAGGAGGTAGGAAGGAGTGGAGAAGAGAAGATAACAAAGGATCCCCTAACCCCAGTTTATTTTACAGAGGAAAGAAATCCATCAGTTTTCCTGGACAGAGGTTGAGATGGTCTTTCTTTCATTCATTGACAACCACTTTCCCAACCTGATATTTTCCAGTTATGTTGAGATAAAACTTGCCATTGCCAGAATGACTGGATTTTGGGAGCTACAATGCTAATTTGTTTGCAGAACTCTATACATTTTGGGAGCCAGAAAATTAGCATGATCAAAACAGGTCTGTTGATTCTTAAGATAACCATGGCAAGATAATATGAAAACATGGAAAGGAAACACCAGTGTTGGCCCATGATCTATATAACCTCTTTCTTTGTGGTTTAGATCAGGAGCTTTCAAAATTTTGCAGGTTGCAGAACCTAACAGTAAAGGAAAAAACAGGATTTCCTGGAATTTCTGACCAAGAGGCAAAGTTCTAGTTCAGTGTTTCTCATCCTTGGTTATTGGAGTCCTTGCAGTTTATAGTTTATAGAAAATTGGCTGCATTCAATTGAACCTTATTCCCCACTCTCCAATCTTTCATAGAACCCCATCAGCCTCTTATGTAATCATAGGACATCATGGAACACATCCATGAAAACTGTTAGTTAGATTATGCCCTTAGATTCTATATGAAGTAATACCCATGCTCTACATGAAGATTACAAATGATAAAAGCTCTCTCAAGTTGAGCTCAGTAGTTAAAAATGCAGCCCTGCAGTTTTGTTAGGAATGGTACAAATATAATAGGCTATGATATTTTCCCAAAATGTGGGTGTTCTTTTTTTAAAAAAAAAAACTAATTTATAGCCCTGGAATTCCTAGTGATTCCCCCATCCAAGTATAAATTAAGGCTAACCTTAATTAGCTTCTGAGATCAACCAGGGGTGACTGGCTGCTGTCTCTTGCTGAGGTGATATCCCTACAGAAGTAATATTTATCACTATCTATGAACTGCATGGCTCAGTTCATGGCTATAAGCTACATGTTTAACTTCTCAACTTCTACACATTTTTAAATTCAAAACTTGCATAGTTGCTAAGAAAACTTTGAAATACAGTACCTCAATATATTAAAACATACAAACTAAGTCATGTATTTTGCCCAGTTTATGGCGATAGCAGTTTAGGATTCCTTATTTCATAATACAGTTGTTCTTAAATTATTTTATTTATTTTGTATCATCCAGATGATTTGATCTGCAATTCCCACAATCTCCAGCAAAAATCACCTCAGGTCATAGATTTCATTAAGGAAATTTGAGAATTTCTATTGGGAAGGAATTGCCTGTTGGATGCTAGAACATTAGTTATATGGCAGCCCAAAGATAACTTATGCTGACCCTCTGAAATAATTTGTGTGGGTTCTTTCTCTTGTCTCTTAAACTAGCTGGAAACAGCCAAGAAAGTATATCACTTGGCATGCAAAGAGGAGAAACTTGCTATGACCAGGGAAGCTAATAGCAAAGCAGAGCAATCTATTACTCCAGACCAGCAGAAGAAGCTTCAAGACAAAGTGGAAAAATGCAAGCAAGATGTACAAAAGGTAGGAAGGCCATCTACTGAAATAACTCGGAAAGTTAATGCACATCCTTTTATATGAACAACAGCAGTCCAGCCCAGTCTTCTATGTACACTTTCACATAAAGAAATATATAACTCTGCACACAGGAAAAAAGTCATCTTCATGTTTAGATATAGATAGAGTTGTAAGCATACATACCAAGTGCATATATTTATGTCTGTAGACAAGATATATTGATCACCTCAGAAAGTGCAGCGCATGGTTTTAAATTGTTGCAATTGTTTATTTTTATGTATTATGTAAAGTCCAATAATTACTTTCCATATCCGCTGCTATTCCTTCATTTTTGAATCTGAAAGGACAAAACCTGTACAGTCTATTCAATGACACTGTCACAAGTTCACACATGGTGACTGCATTTTCTAAATTTAACTTGGAACTTTGTTTCTTATTTGTATAACAAGTTCCAGGAACAATATTAAAGCATGCTTCCAATAGAGATGGCTGCAATTGGCATTAATTGCACCTGAGATTAATCTTATTTCAGTGCTGATATGGAATAAACTCACAATTGAAATCCTTATGCAATCTTATTTGGGATTATGCCTTATTTTATTTATTACTTCTATGGATAATCTATAAATAATGTCAATCAATGTTATATTTAAAAGAGCAAAATTATACATGCCTACCTACCCAGAAGATCTTATATGGATAGGATTGAGCAGTGGCCTTACTCAGGGAAACTTAACTGCATCCCTTTGTTTCTTGGACAGGCTCTGGAGAAATATGAGAAAATAGTGGAGGAGGTGAATAAGGGCACTCCACAGTACATGGAAAGCATGGAGCAGGTCTTTGAGCAATGCCAGCAGTTTGAAGAGAAGAGGCTTAATTTCCTAAAAGAGGTGCTGTTAGATATCAAGCGACACCTGAACCTGGCAGAAAACAGCAGGTAGATTGTTTATTATTATTATGATGTGGTTAATCTTTGGTGAGATTCACAGCCTTTGGGGCTGGTTGGTAGCTCAACAGCTCAAGTCCTAACCAAGGACCTAGGAACTGTTAAGATAATGTCGGAGGATATAAGTTGTTCCACGTAGGGTGGTTTTTTGTAGAGTCAGAATGTTCAAGTCAGGTAAATTTAGAATTTTCAAATAGCGAGGTAGCCCTTTAGGTATTGCTCCAAGGGCTCCAATTAAAATTGGGACAACACATGATTTCTTTTTCCACAGTCGTTCAACCTCAAATTGCAGGTCCCGGTATTTTGTGATTTTTTTCTTCCTGTTTATCTTCAATTTGTACATCATCAGGTATTGCTATGTCAATGAACCATACTTTTTTCTTTTCAATTATTGATGGTGTTAAAAGTCTTGTCACAGGATGGAAGCTGTTCTAAACAAAGCTGCTTTATGCCATTGACTGATGGCGAATTTGTCAATGCCGATGATGTTCAAGTGGTGCTCCAGTTGTTTTGGGATTTCCCCCAAGGTGCCTTTTGCTATTGGTACTACTCTTTCTTCCTTTGGCCTCAGTCATTCTATTTCTATTTGCAAGTCTTTGTGTTGTTGTTGTTGTTGTTGTTGTTGTTGTTATTGTTGTTATTCTGCTTTTTATAAAAACATAAAAACTGAAGCAGCCAAGTCAGAAATCTCTCTGGTGATTTTTGTAATACAGATGTTCCTTTACTGGGCACTTGGTGCCATCCTGAAGTTCTGTTTGCTTTTCCTTCAATTTAGTAATGTCTATATAAGAGCTGTTTGTATGCACTTTAACATCACTTGCTAAATATGAGGAAAATTGTCCTCAAAGTGATGCAAGACAATCCAATTTATCTTGGATTCTCTAAATAAACTACTGTCCATAGGTTTGGCTTCCATCTCAGTTTACAATATAATTTGATAAAGAAATCAAGGTTTTCTTGTGTTGGATGACTTCAAGAAGGAGATAGAATGCCAACCATTAGAAATATTTTAGCTCTGGATTTTCTGCCTTGACAGAAAATTAGATTAATATTCCTCTCCAACTAGAATTCTGTAATAGACACAGGTAGGAAAAATGACTAGTGTTATAAACAAGATTATCTTTACTTTGCAACTTTCTGCTAAAAATGAAGTGGTCCATGAAAATATCTCCCTTACCTTAGATTGATCACATTCTGGAATACTAGGACCCAGCAAATGAAACCTAGATTACAACATTGGTCTTAAGCAGTTCCAAGGGTTGCAAAAGAATTTAAAAATGAAGATTGTATCATTTCAGACTTGGATGTGGAATTTGTAAAACTTATTGAGAAGAAAATAACACTTCTAGTAGAAATCTAGCATAGTCATTTTCTACTTGAAGAGGTTTAACATAAACAATTTTTGTAAAAGATTATAATAGTAGCAACTTTTAAATTAAAGATTAAAAGGTGCAAAAAAATAAAAATAGAAAATGAAAAAGTAATATAGCAAAGAAAAAAGAAATATATACAGAACTAACTTTCCACTTTAAGTATAAACAATTTTAGTACTTTATCACTTTCACTTAAAACACAACAAATATTTTTTTCTCCCCATATCCCGTATCTATAAACAAATTCATAAAGCATTATAATTTCAGTCCGGGTGTCAGCAAAGATTTATTAAAGACCAGAAATAATAACATATCTATTTTAACCTTAAGCAAATTAACTTTATAGCCCACCATTTTACTTCTAACAATCTTAATCTTTATTGCATTTAATAGTTTTGTAATCCTGTTTTTAGTTAAACCTTGTCCCTTCTCATAAGATCCTTCAAAATTTTAACAATCTTCTTTTGTAAATACATGATAGGAAAAATTTTCAGGTCACTCTTTTGGTTTATTGTTTGCCTTTGAATTATTAAAACTGGTTTTTTCTGTATATCTAGTGTAAGATCTTTTTCCTTGTTTCTTGTAGCCTGTTATACTTTCAAATCAGTCTCAGTCTTGTCAGGTAAAACTTGACTGTGACATCTTTCATACAGTCTATCCATGGAGGCAGATGTCTTTGTTGAAACTATTAATATTAACTTCGGAGTCCATTTTACAAAAATATCCTTCATTATGTCCAATGTTAGAATATTTTGCTCTGTTCTGTAATTATATTTTGTGTTCTTCTCCTTTAACTGTAATTTTTAGTTCTCTCTTGTGTCTAATTTTAAAAATCTTTCTTTAATATGTCTTTTTAATGCAAAACAAAAGCATTTTCCCATAGGAAGGGCTCTTTATCATTAATTCCAAAATTTTATTTAAAACCTATCTGGATCCTTAATCCATTTGTAACTTTCTTAAATAAAAGCCATAATAACCGTTATTAAGGGTCCAGATAGGTTTTAAATAAAATTTTGGATTTTAATAACTGTTTTTCCCCTTCCCCATTTAAGTTAATAACAGAATAACAGAGTTGGAAGGGACCTTTGAGATCTTCTAGTCCACGGGTGGCAAACTCAATCGCGTCATGGGCCGGATTGTGATGTATCACAATGTTTTTTGCCTTTGCAGAGCCGGGGTGGGTGTGGCTTGCACATGATGTATCCAGCCACCAGTTTGACAGACCTGTTCTAGTCCAACCCACTGCTCAAGAAGGAAGCCCTATATCCATGATAGTGAACTGTTGTGACTCAGCAGAAGTTTGCTGTGAGTTGAGTCGGGATGCAGGAATAACAATGCAGCTGGGGCTCGTTAGTGTGGTCTTCTGAAGATAAAAGGACTTTCCTTTTAAGTCTGTCTGACTGTCATCTGTTAACGAGCGGAGAAGGGGGGGACAGAACAGATTGACTTCTGCCAAAACAAGCCTCCATTTGATTAACTATGGAGCAATTAATTGCTGAAAATAGGCAAATGGCTCAACAGATATCGGTGCAAAAACCCCCGGGCCAAGGAGGAAGTGCCCAGTAGCCATGCCAGATAAATATGATTGGAGTCTGGCCATGTTTGCTGTGTTTCTGGGACAATGCCAGCTGTTCCTGAGTCTGAGAGCGGAGTACTTTCCCACTGACCGGACAAAGGTGGGATTCATTATCAGTTTGCTCTCAGGCACAGCTGCCTGTTGGGCTACCCCCTTGTTAACTCAGCTGAGCCCTTTGTTGGACGACTTACAGGGCTTTTGTCAGTACTTCAAACGGGGAAACATCAGCTAGAA